TCTTTCATCTTCGCCCATGGGTTCTAACCAGGCTACTTATTGGGCCGAGTGATTCAATTTTACGTACTTCTAAGTCAAGGAGAACGTTATCTTCGGCTGCACGGCGTTGTCTTCAAGATTATTTCTGGAAACGAATGAAATATCCAGTGAAATCACAAACTGAATCTAATTTGACCTCATAATATTTTCCCCATTCGTTCGCTTACTCCGCCAACGTACTTTTCATCTTTAATCGTTTTGCTTATCTGTACCCGCCACTCACCTTGCCGCAGAGGCGCTCCAGTCAGATATTTGTGTATTAGCATATTATTGCACTGTTTGATGATGTCCATGATAAAATTCAGAAGGTCTAAGCACTAATAAAGGTTTTTAGTATAGTTGACAATGGCTGGGGCCATTTTGGATGAGTAGGGTTCCAACTTGTCGTTGTCAAAACCCGTTTGCCTGAAAAGGTATTTTATGTTTGCATCATTTAGCTTATACGGAGTTAGCCTATGGAAAACCGGGGGACGCTTGTGGAGCCGACAGTTCGCTGTTCTTCATGAAGTCCGGGTCAAGCGAACCTTTATCCACAGAAAATTTCAACGAAGTAAGCTAATGGTGTTAGACTATGGATTTTTTAAATCATAGAGTCAAAACATGCTGTGCTCTGACTTGAACAAAGCTCCAGAGTTTTATACCCACATTCCTCCTCAAGTCCGTCTGTTGCTCAAAGCAATGCGCGCTAGCGCTGCTTTGATCCGTGGTGATTGATGATGATGATGATGATGATGATGATGAAGATGATGATGCCGATGCTGCTGCTGATGATCTTGATGATGATGATGATGATGATGATGATGAAGATGATGATGCCGATGCTGCTGCTGATGATCTTGATGATGATGATGATGATGATGATGATGAAGATGATGATGCCGATGCTGCTGCTGATGATCTTGATGATGATGATGATGATGATGATGATGAAGATGATGATGCCGATGCTGCTGCTGATGATCTTGATGATGATGATGATGATGATGATGATGAAGATGATGATGCCGATGCTGCTGCTGATGATCTTGATGATGATGATGATGATGATGATGATGAAGATGATGATGCCGATGCTGCTGCTGATGATCTTGATGATGATGATGATGATGATGATGATGAAGATGATGATGCCGATGCTGCTGCTGATGATCTTGATGATGATGATGATGATGATGATGATGAAGATGATGATGCCGATGCTGCTGCTGATGATACCTGGGATGATGAGCAGGACTTTCTTCATCTCCCGCTGTGTCCTCAGCAATGCTACGTGACACAGTTCAAGGTACCTCCACAGTATCGATTATTGTGATATCAAAGAAATGGACCAGTTTGTCACCATACGCCTGCACAGGTACAGGTCGTTGTGGTCAGTTTTATTTAAAAATCGGTTAAAACAATTTGTATTTTCCGCGCTTTGTATTGTCCCATCCCCCGTAAATGAAAATTTATGCTGCCTCCCTCACTTCCATTCTACTTTTCCAGCACGTTTCTTGCCTCATGCTCCAAAAGGATGAGAACAACTTGAAATCACTCCATTTTCTCATATCAACGTTGTACCTACCGTTACTCATGCAACAGAAAAGCTATTTGGGTGAATTGCTACCTCAACACAAACGCGATTTTATCAATGACGTGAAAGACTACTTGCACGCCCTGAACTGTAAGGAATGATGTTTCTCGACTTTCTGATCACAGTTATTTCACAGGCTTGTAAATCAATGGCATTTCGACAGTCTTTAGTTGGATAAAAGAATGTAACAAAAAGGGGAGTTTTTAGGCTCGTGTATTGTAGCTTAGCTGTTGTTTGGTGAAGATTCAGTGATGCCGACATCTGCTCAATCCAGTTTGCCCGCGGTGAAACGAAATCGGCCCAAGCGACAACCGAGATTGAGACATGCCGTGGTCACACACCGAGTGCCTAGCACGCCGGACTCCTCTTGTTCGGTTATTGGTAGTTAGCTGATAAGAGATACGACATCGAAATTGCCTGTCTCAATACCAAACTGAATCGATACATTGGAAAATAATGGATGCAATGGGAAATTGGTAGCAACCGAATTGGCATTGCTCTCAGTTTGAACTGTAAATCTGTCCATTCATTCATTCATTCATTCATTCATTCACTCATCCATCCATCCATTCATTCATTCATTCATTCATTCACTCATCCATCCATCCATTCATTCATTCATTCATTCATTCACTCATCCATCCATCCATTCATTCATTCATTCATTCATTCACTCATCCATCCATCCATTCATTCATTCATTCATTCATTCACTCATCCATCCATCCATTCATTCATTCATTCATTCATTCACTCATCCATCCATCCATTCATTCATTCATTCATTCATTCACTCATCCATCCATCCATTCATTCATTCATTCATTCATTCACTCATCCATCCATCCATTCATTCATTCATTCATTCATTCACTCATCCATCCATCCATTCATTCATTCATTCATTCATTCACTCATCCATCCATCCATTCATTCATTCATTCATTCATTCACTCATCCATCCATCCATTCATTCATTCATTCATTCATTCACTCATCCATCCATCCATTCATTCATTCATTCATTCATTCACTCATCCATCCATCCATTCATTCATTCATTCATTCATTCACTCATCCATCCATCCATTCATTCATTCATTCATTCATTCACTCATCCATCCATCCATTCATTCATTCATTCATTCATTCACTCATCCATCCATCCATTCATTCATTCATTCATTCATTCACTCATCCATCCATCCATTCATTCATTCATTCATTCATTCACTCATCCATCCATCCATTCATTCATTCATTCATTCATTCACTCATCCATCCATCCATTCATTCATTCATTCATTCATTCACTCATCCATCCATCCATTCATTCATTCATTCATTCATTCACTCATCCATCCATCCATTCATTCATTCATTCATTCATTCATTCACTCATCCATCCATCCATTCATTCATTCATTCATTCATTCACTCATCCATCCATCCATTCATTCATTCATTCATTCATTCACTCATCCATCCATCCATTCATTCATTCATTCATTCATTCACTCATCCATCCATCCATTCATTCATTCATTCATTCATTCACTCATCCATCCATCCATTCATTCATTCATTCATTCATTCACTCATCCATCCATCCATTCATTCATTCATTCATTCATTCACTCATCCATCCATCCATTCATTCATTCATTCATTCATTCACTCATCCATCCATCCATTCATTCATTCATTCATTCATTCACTCATCCATCCATCCATTCATTCATTCATTCATTCATTCACTCATCCATCCATCCATTCATTCATTCATTCATTCATTCACTCATCCATCCATCCATTCATTCATTCATTCATTCATTCACTCATCCATCCATCCATTCATTCATTCATTCATTCATTCACTCATCCATCCATCCATTCATTCATTCATTCATTCATTCACTCATCCATCCATCCATTCATTCATTCATTCATTCATTCACTCATCCATCCATCCATTCATTCATTCATTCATTCATTCACTCATCCATCCATCCATTCATTCATTCATTCATTCATTCACTCATCCATCCATCCATTCATTCATTCATTCATTCATTCACTCATCCATCCATCCATTCATTCATTCATTCATTCATTCACTCATCCATCCATCCATTCATTCATTCATTCATTCATTCACTCATCCATCCATCCATTCATTCATTCATTCATTCATTCACTCATCCATCCATCCATTCATTCATTCATTCATTCATTCATTCAT